AAGAATGTATGGTGACACGAAAGCAAGATACTCATAAAAAAAAAAAAAAAAAAAAAAAAAAAATGTAAGACTGAGAAGAGGAATGCAAAGAGTCATAAACTGCCATATGTGACACGGTCGAAGATAAACACTCCTTCCATAGCCGAATCTAGAAATATCCAAGTGCTTATAATATCAAAACATATGTATAGAAGACGCGAGAGCGCTGTCAAGTGGCAAACAAAAACATCCCAGGATAAAGTGCGCATTAAACGGAGATTGTCCGCGATAAATGTTTGGCGAATAATTCAAGGGATGTCACGCTGGGAAATCATTGTCCGACGAACAAAGAAACCTTTCTCGAACTCGTAATAAACAAGACGTCGACCTTCATCATGAGCAACTCACCAGCTAAAATCGCGCAGAGCGCGATTAGTATCTCCTTCATGTTTTTGCCAATAACTCTCTTGATGGGTCCGAAAAATAGTCGTGACGACGCACTAAAACGCTCGACGAGCGCTTAGATCCGCGTGCAATCAATTTGCGTGGAGAATCTACGACACAAAAGCAACTTTGACTTTACAGATAATAGACTATCTCGAAAAACAACCGAGCACTATCGACGGTCAACGGTGAATCGCAGCCGATTCCTCGAAGAAAATCATCCGACGACGGAGAGAAGCCACGGTGTGGTCGGTGTTGATTCGGTACCACTCGGTAACGTTCGGTAAGTCACATGATTCGTCACACCATTGTCGCGATGCGCGTGTATGTACACACGCGTGAACCACACTAATAAACTGTGCAGGGCCGTATTCACCGGACCGCTGCGGGTGGTTTTTTTTATTAATCAACGTTGTTGCAACGTTTCGTGTGTGTTTGTTGCAAATTCGGAAATCGCTGCCTGTCGCAGTGAAATCTTTATTATTATTTTTTTTAAATCTTTTAACAGAGTATGGGAAAGGTATATTTCCTGCGCGTTCTCTGAAAAGCACAAAGAAACTCAACACAAAATCCTTTTTTTTTAAAGAAAATCCAACAAATAGAAACTGCGTGCTAAGTTTATCTCTTCAAAATTTTGAAAATTTCCATTTATTATTACACGCAAAATAAGTGTCATCGGCAATTGACGATAAAAAATTGTGAAGATAGTACAGTCTGTTCGTTCCGATTCAATGTCATTGTGAAGTTTATCAGGAGATTATACGAAATGATTCACGCATAATGTAGTATGTGTTTTGAAGGAAAGCACGCAATCGTGATATGATTTCACGATACAGAAGCAAGTTTTCCTTGCGTTTAATTAATGATAAACACTGAAGATATGGAACAGCTGATTGACAAAATTATTATGATTGATTGTTTGTACACAATAATCCTTATTATTCTTATCATGAAAACGATTGTGCGTAATTTATCGTCTGCAAAATATTGGTTCAAATAGAGAATATAACGAAATATATTAAATAAGAATTCATGTGTTACGATGTTACATATGTAGTACGTATATAATTTGCAACTTGTGCAGATATATATTCCAAGCGATAATATTTTTTTCTGCGTTCTTGCGTCAACAGGGGCAATTAGATAACACATAATAGATATGCTATTTGTGCTAGATTTCAAATAAATCAGAAATAATATTTCTCATAAAATTCGTTTGCTAGCAACCCTTCATCGTGGTGTTTCCGTGGTGTAGTGGTTATCACATCCGCCTAACACGCGGAAGGTCCCCGGTTCGATCCCGGGCGGAAACATCTTTTTTTTTGTTTTTAATTTTTTTGCTCGCAAATTTACACACACGTAGAACTTCACTTAGTTTTTAATAAATATACTGCGCACGTATTAAGCGCGTAAAAAAACGAGAGCGTGGAAAAAATAAATAATTTTGCTGAACAAATTTTTACTTTTGTCGTAGTGAAATTGCAACAAAAATTCGATCTTATCTTCCAGCGAATAGAAAAACATAAGTAATAAATTGTTCACAATACTCACAGAAGTTCTCATAAAAATGTACACGCAGCTATGTAATGAGATTCCGTTTTTTAAATACTCACTGTCTTAATATGTGGACTTGAGACATACGTGATATGCAAATATCGGAACTTCAAACACAAAGACATTAAAAACGATTCGAGTCACTCGCGTATAATCAAGTATTTAAAAATATATAGAATCATGTTTCTCATTAATGTTAATGTAAAAAATTTTTAGTATGAATTATTACTTTTGATTAAATGTGTAATTGAAATTGTGTGCAAAAAAAGGATGGAAAGGGAATTGTATACTGATTACATATTCGATTCCGAAAGTTTCACTAGAGATTTGATCGTGAAATTTCATTGTGAATACAGTAATTAAAAAACTCGTTTAGTCAAAGAATCAGAACCTACGTAGATTCGAACAATCTTCGAACAAAAGAGAATTTTAGCTGACGTGGTCTGTATCTGTTTTAAAAAACTCTATTTTTATCTCTGTTGAAACAGATTTACGGAGTATTACTCACAGCTGGGAGGACTAGAGTTTTTTGTTTGAAATTAACATATAACAGTTTCATTTATATAACAATTATATAAATAATAATATTTATAATCACATTTCAAGTGTACATTTTATTTATCTGCGGGAATTAAACACACACAAATATGTAAGTTCAGTAATATTAAACTCTTTATTTTCTTTTCTTTATGTACAGTACCTATTTAGTACAAAAGAGAGTTGCGCACGAGAAGTAATGAGCTGTTTCAACATGTTGGATCCAATATTGTTTTTTACTGAACAAATACACATAGTACGAATTGTCATGTAATTTTGTTTCAAATCCATTAGCCAATGTGTATGTCGTGTGTGTGTGTGTGTGTGTGTGTGTACACATACAGTTTGTATTCTCTACTACAACACGCGTGACGTATAAAATCTATCTGCATGATACGCTTTGTATGGTATGAATAGTTTGATTGTAAAATATACAACGAAATTTTATATTGCAACTAGTATACGATAGATTATATTTCAACATATCGGACACATGCTACACATCGTAGATCATCCAGTAACAGTTTGTTTAAAAGTCACAGTGAAAATTAAATTTCTTACATATATGTTTACGTAAGATCACATCTCGTGTGTATCTTCTTTATATAACACAACTGATTATCTTGTTTTCATCTGGTGATATTATATGATTATAAATTACATAAAACATGTTACACATGCAATTGTAATCGATCTTTGATCGGATTCGGCGCGAGATGTGAATACAGTTTTGAATATTTCGCGGGGGGGGGGAGGGGGTATAGGCGCATCAAAAACAAAAACAAAAAACCACCTTAACGTAATACAAAAATGTTTCTTCTTCTAATGGTACTGGACATACAGATACGAGATAAGGACGAACGCATGTTGAAACGTAAACTATATTGTGGCTTATCTTCGCGTACGTTCTATTAGTTTTATACATAGTTTATTTACATATTAGAAAATTCGTAACACATTTATCATGTCATCATTCGGTTTTTGTTATTACAAGAGAATGCGAGAACGAGAATTGCCACGTATTTTTTTTTTTTTTTTTTTTTTGCGGAATTGAACTTTATGAAAAAGAGACTGGTAGGCCATCGTCGCTTTTATGTAACAATAAGCTACATAACGATAGTACGTTTTGTTTGCATCAACATAATTGCTGAGAAAATATGGCGGTTTGTTTCCTCCTTCGCAAATCACGACTTGGGATAGTGCTTCGATTTGGGTTGGTTCTTTTGTGTTATCAGCTTTTTTTCTACTTTACAAGGCAGTCTACGCGTCGTATGACTTTTTTTTATCGTACAATATTTTAATTTTTTTTAACTTAACAAAAAAGTTATTTCTTTTTTTTTTTTGATCATCGCAATATAAACGGTCATGTATCTCGGACAGAAGCTGTACATCGTCAAGCGCTTTTTTATGAATCGCGCGCGAATGTTTAAACATCATTTAAATCTTTTTAATATACGAGGTCTCACGTGAGAGATATATATCAGTTAAGATTACACTTTTCCGGGTAAAATAATGAAACACCCATTACATACAATTCGTAAAAAAGAATGCATATCGATTATATGGTAAAAATTAACAATATATTAATAAAATTGACTAATCATCTTTTTTTTTTTTTTTTTCGTTCTTCCTACGTAGGAAACCGTATATGCTTGTTCCGCCTCTATTTTCTTGTAGAGGGAAGGTTTACATAGTTATTGTGTTACTTAAACATTCGCTGAATTGAACGTCGTTTTAAGCTGACATCAGACCTCGTGTGCGTTTACGAATAATATCAATATATCACTTACGACTCTTTCGTAAACACATGCGAACAATTTTATATTTAGATAAATAAAAATATTACGTTTACAACGAAATATGTATGTACACACAATATATGTTTGTTCATTGGCGGCAGCATATATAACGTACATACACTATCACATGCGTATGTACATATGCTACCGATTCACTTACCACCGAAATGATAGAAAATATTTCACACGCCCGATCTAAGAAGAGGCATCGGAAGTCGAAGAAATTTCTACTGTCCTACACTGATTGCCAATACGTAATCAACTCCATAGAGGCTTTCTGCAAGTTTGATCAAATGCAGTTGTACACACACAAAAACAAAAGTACTATGTTAATTGTGCGGTCGGATTATACACATATGATATTTTATATTAATGGTTGAAGATTCATAGTTTTTTTTTTTTATTATTATTTATAAAAGAGTCATAGAATATAAAATTGTATTTATACTTCACTTACGTAGATTTCTTGGAAGTCGCCGTTGTTGCCGTCGTTGTTTTCTTTTTGTTGTTTCTACACTTTCTCACATAGGCTTCTATTAACAACGCTATCTTCTTAGGATTAATTTCGCCCGTTTTGTTGTGGCATATCTGTAACATTATTGCGATCGTGTAGTTATTTGTGCGTGATATCAGAGGGAGTATTTTTTTTAATAGAGATTCGAAATATTATTTCGAATTACAATGAGATCTCTGACAGATTGGATATTCACCTTAGGTACAGCTTTGCGCATGATATCTTTATATTCCTCTTTTGTAACATGCTTTTTGGTGTAATGAGGTTTGAGAACTAACTTCACCTCCTCCACAACTCTTTCTTGTCGGTTTAGTTTTTTAAGGAACTGTAAACAAGTAAAACAGTTATGTTATTGTTAGGATATTGCTTGACAATAGAGCGCCACGTAAATCCTATAACATGCCTTGTCCTTAACTTGCATTTCCACTGCGGAACTAGGAAGATCGTCTAGGATCTGGAGCTGATTTTCATCCATACGTACGCCTACTTTAGAATTGAGAGCTGTAAAATATGTTAATAAATGATTGTTTATTATAAAAGAGAAAAAACAAAGATTTCGACTTTTTTCATTGTTTCAATTAAAAGATAACTTAAGTACGTACGCTTCTTCGTCTTTTCCTTAGGAGCCTTTTTGCTCCTGTTCTTGGTCACAGGCTTGTTAATAGGCTGCACTATTCCACTAAACAGGGCGTCAAACGCATCTTTCTTTTCCCCGCCCTTGTTAACTTTCGGCGTGGTTTTGGCAGCTGCAGGCGCTGGTGCGTTTACAACAGGTGAGCTATTGAAGTTGGTGGGACTAGGCGGGTCGAATAGACCGTCGCTCAGAGTTGATCCTGGCGAATAAGGCGACGACATGTCGACTACGTTGTCATTCGTTGCCTCTATGACAGTATCGCTACCGTTTTGACCTATCGTCGAACTGTTCTTAGTTTGAGTGGGTTTGGAAGACCGCGCTGTGGTAGATGATTTGGCAGAATTTGCGAATACATTAGGAAGCTGTGGTCTGTCAGTCGTGCGAGGTTTCATCTGATTACTCGGCGAAATGCGATTAGACTGCAAAAAAAGAATATTAGATTTTTTAAACTAAAATTATAAAATATTTAGAGCAGAGATTTCATTTTGCAAAATCATCACTTTAAGCTTCATATTTTGATGAGAGCTAAATATACCTGCAATACTGTTTTCTGCGTCGTGTTAGGTGTGCTGCTGTTGAAGCTTCTCTGCACGGCGGCCGCTACTGTCGCAAGCACAGGGTTGACAGTGGTGAATGGAGCAGCCGATTGTATGCTCGACGGATTCTGCTGAGGCGGACTGCTATACGACTGTGGTACATCGGTCTGATTCTCTGGTATGGGCGACGCGGTGACGTCTCTCTGTGGTGATGGTCTTTTAATAGTCACCATCGAGATTATCTTTGGCTTTTCCGCCGGTTTTTCTTGTACAATAGGCTGATCTTGCTGTTGGTTGCTGGGCTCGTCCAATGGTAACGGCTCATCCGTCGTAATATCGTGTTTTCTCGGTGAACTCGATCGCTGAGTTCGATCGCGCTCGTCGCTCGATGTAACTTCTTGACTCGCATCCGGCGTCGGTGATCGGGACTTAGTCGGATCGAAAGGATCATATGCATCCGGCGAGGTCGGTGGAGGCGGTTCCGGTGGTGTGTTGGGACCGATTTTCAAGCGCAGTTCCAATTCTTCCTGCGCTCGCATCTCAAGCTCTTCTTCCGCTCGCTCGTCCATCATTTCTTCTTCCTCTTCTTCTTCCTCCTCCTCCTCCTCCTCTTCCTCCTCTTCCTCTTCTTCCATTAGCGGGTTTATCAAAGACGGTCTGAGATTGCTGGGCTGTTTGTTTATAGAGAACTTGATTTGCGCCGGCTCTGGCGGTGTCTTCGGGCCTTGCGAGACGAATTGTTCATGCGGCGGCGACGCCTGCGACGACGGTGGACACGGCTCGGGCGACGCGGCGAGCGTTTCCTGCACTTGCTTGTCATCGTCGTCGCTCAGAACAATAATGTCACGCGGCGATGGTGTTTGTTCGCGGAATGGCGATTGGTCTAAATCAATCACAGCCACAGGTTTCTTCGTTGCCGCTATCTCCGCCGCCTTGGACTTCTTTTTCTTATCTTTTTTCAGCTTCGGCGACTTTGACCGTTTGTCTTTCAACTTTTCCTTCTTCGCTCGTTTCGCCGGAGACGCGTCCTTCTGATCGGAGTCCCTTTGTCGTCGTTTAATCGGAGGCATCAACGGAATGGTCGGCAATTCTGTTGCGGACGTCGGATTTGTCGTCTCGTTGTCTTTGTTGAAACAAACACTGACCAGGATATTATCACCACTAGCAAAAACTTCCTTTGACGGCGGCGGAGTCCTGTTACGTTTGCTCTTTCGTCGTTTTTCCGTGTCCTTGGATTTTCTGCTTTCTTTCCGGCGTTCCTTCTTCTTCTTCTTTATCGCTTCCTTGTTCGTCAAGATAACAGTCAGATTCTTTGGCGACACGCTATCCAAAACAGGCGGAGGTGACCAGTTACGAGAAGCCAACTGCTCCTGTTGGATGTGTGGCGGTGTTTCTGACCGCGACCAGGACGGCGTCCACGCACTCCAAGAACGCTCCTGTTCTCTCTCACGCGTAAATTGCTGTTCACGTTCCACACTTTTCTCGTTTATCTGATCCCAGTTACGATTGCGATCCCGATCTATCGAGACTGATCTGTCTTTCGACCTCGAGCGGCTGCGCGCTTTTCTCTTGTGCTTTTTCTCGCGCGACTTAGACGATTTCGGCGACTTGCTGCGTGACCTCTTCGATTTCCTCGAGCGACTACGTGATTTGTACTTCTTCGACTTGTCTTTTCGCTTGTCGCGTGTTCTCGATAGCGATCGTCTAGATCTTCGTCTGGGCGACAGTGATCGTCGCTTTCGCGACGGCGATCGCGATCGTTTTCGAGAGATCGAGTGCCGTCTTGACAAAGATCCTCTGTGCGACGATCCTTTCCGGGAAGATTTGTGTCTAGCGCGAGACGATGATCTTCTGCGCGAGACAGATCGATACGATCTCGATTCCCTCGACCAGGACATCCGCAAACGGGATCTGCTTCTGGATCGTCCTTTTGAGAACGATCGACTTCGTCGATCTCTTGAACCGGATGGGGCCTTGTTCAACGAACGACTTCTTGACATGGTTCGCGATACGATATCCCTACCAAACTCGTCTTTCGTAGGCCTAGGCTTTTCAGCTACAAGTTTTCTCACATTGTATCGCGGCAGATCTTTTCTCTTCTCTTTCTTCTTGCTCATCTCTTTTATTTTTTTCTTTGAAGACTTATCCTTGTCCTTATCCTTGTCTTTGTCCTTTTCTTTTTCTTTTTCCTTCGACTTGGACTTTCTTTTATCCTTTTCCCGATACTGTCTTTCCTTCATATTCTTAGTGAGCTTCTTCCAGGAGACCAGATTGTCCGAAGAGATGTTTTCCTTATTCTTCTCCGTGCTCTCCTTGCTCTTCTCTTTCTTGTCTTTTTTCTTTTTCTTCTTTCCGTCATTTTCCTCCTTTGACTTTTCCTTTGAGTTTGCATTTCTTGAATCTACTATTTCGCCATCTTCTGTCTCCTTCTTTTTGCGTGACGAAAACTGAGCAGTTGACTCCTCGTCGAAGTTTATCGTCTCGTCAGTCTCAGATATAGCTTCTGTACCTAGTCCGGCATAGCCTAACGGTGTCCTGCAATCGTCCAAGCCGTCGTTTGTTCTATCCTTCGTCGGTGTGATCGGTTCCAAGCCAATTTCGTAAGATGCCGGGCGTCGGTCCGCTTGCTTCACGTTTTTTAAAGGCAGCTCGTCCTTGCAGGGCGTGTAAGCGCCGTCTGACTCCCAGTTGTAATCACCACAAGTAGCCGATACGGACGGCTGTTGATCTATCTTGTCTTTCTCTAATAGAAATTGTTCTACTTCGTCATCCGCCACCGAGACATTCGAGCTCGTCTTCTCATTTCGCTGATCCGGCGAGGTTCGATCTTCGTTGTCGCTCGACGCTTTGTCGCCTCGATCTGTTTTTTCAGCGGACTCATTGCTCACCGCACGTTCATATTCGTCGCTGCTCCATTCTCGCTCGTGCGAGTCGTCGTGCGCATTTGTCACACTTTGCAGTTCGCAGCTTGAACGACTCGACACGATTTTTGCTGCGTCGCCACCTTCCGAATCGCACTCCATGTTTGTGCTCTCGATGTTGTCCGACTTTTTCGGAGATGATGGAAGAACAGACAATATCTCTACGCTTTCCGCCGTGAGATCTTTGTCGGCCACATTTGTCATTTCCGTTTGCGATAACTCTTCTTCGTCTTCGTCTTCGTCTTCGTCTTCGTCTTCGTCTTCGTCTTCATCTTCGTCTTCTTTCTTATTAGGCGACACATCAACATTTTCCAGGTTCTTGTCTGTTTTCATAGCTTCCTCATCTGAGCTCTCCGAGTCATCTTTGCTTTCACGTCGACTTGAAAATTTGGGCGATTCTTTATCCTTGACGCTTGACACTGCAGATTCAGTTGATGCGTTCTTCTCGTCCTCTTTGACGGATTCCATCTTTGATTGGTTTAACGTCGATGGTTCTATTGTGGGAGACTCTGTCACTGGCTTTGACGAACCAACATTTTTGTCGTTATCTCGCTCTTGTTGCTCAAATGGCGATATCGTCACTTTCTTCTGATCATCCAGACCGCTGAACCGATTATTAAGCTTCAGCTTGTTGCCGATCTTAAAAGTAATCTTGCCGCGCTGCGAATCGTGTGAGATCTTCTTAGGTGGTATTTTACTTAAGATTTTCCGTTCTTTCTGTAATGCCTCGAGATAAGGATCAGCTGGTTCAGGAGTTGCGTCTGGCATATCGCAAGCTTGAACGTCTCCCACAATAATATCGTCATCGTCAGGTATGCTGGGCGGTAACGGCGGTGGTTGAAGCGGTCCCAATTGCTGCGACAATTCCTGTTCCGTATGTCTAGCTACGTCCATGGTTTGCGACGAGTAAATGGAGAAGTTTGGACAGTCGGATTGCGAATCGTTGTCGTCGTCGTCTTCGTCATATGCGGTCAATCGAAGTGTCTCTTGCGGCAGATTCCTGTTCGCTGTCGTACCAGCCATAGACATCGAAAGTGGATAACTTGGTGAAAGTACCGGTGACGAGTCCGGCATAGGTATATCACAACTATCCACGCTGTTCTGAGATACTTCCGCTTTTTCTATAGCCATCTTCTTCTGCAAAGCGATGGCGACTTCATCGTTGCTGTCACTGTCGGCAGCAAACGGATCGTATTTGTCGCCACTCGGCAAGTCCCTTGATGTTTCCTCTTTGTGACTGTCGTCAATTACCAGCTCGTGCTCGCTTTCATTATCCTTGTCACTTTTGGAGTTCTCGTCAAAGTTCAGCAAACCAGATGGCGGCTCTGGCGGCGGCAGAAGTATCATCGAGCCACTGTGCTCCTTCCTCTGCATATCGCAGTCAGGCTTAGTCGAAGAATCGAGATCACAATAAATATCTTCGTTATCCTGCCGTCCGGTAATTGGCTCCGTTGCAATAGGATCCATCGGAATTATAGGATCTATCGGAAGTATAGGATCCATTGGAATTATAGGGTCCGTTGCGATGTGATCATTTTGCTCGGCGACGGACGGTTGATAATTTTGCGTCACATCTTCGGACATATTGGGCGGAGGTAGGTTGTTGTGTACATGCATCGGTGGGTTAACGGAATTCGGCGCATTCGTCAGCACGACAGGTGGACCACCAGGATGTGGCGGGATTAACGGAGGTGGCCTAGGTGGTCTAGGAAATCGATCCATATGGAACACAGGCGGTCTCGGTTCGAAACCGCTGCCGTCTGGATAGTTAAACGGACGTTCGACGTGCGGCGGTGGAAAACGTGGTCGCTCGTTGCGAAAATGCTGCGGATTACGGTTGCGGAAAGGCGGCGGTGGCCCGTGGGTGCCAAACATGGGTGGTCCGCCGCAGTGCTCGAAGTTGGGATTAAAAAACGGTGGTCGACCAAAGTCGCGATTCCCGAAGTTGTCCCGCGGACCGCCGCCGCCGGTTCCGCTGCCGTAGCTATGTCTGCCGCCACTAGGTGGCAACGAGTCCCGGCCGCCGCCGTAATTCTGTCCACATTGGCGGCCGTTGTCGCGATTGTAACCACCCCGAAAATTACCGCGATTAGAGCCGCCACCGCCTCCACCTCCACCGCCGCACGGATTATTGTACATCGGTGCCTGCGTAATATCGTTGGGATTGACATTAGACAAATCTAACGGCGTGTCTGCTTCCTTCAGTATTGCTTCCTTTTTGCACTTCTTCTCCTTCTCCTTCTTCGGACTTTCGTTGTTGTTGATACTATGCTTGTTCTCCTTATCAGGATTGCTCACCACTACTAGTGTGCCGTCGGTCTTTACAATCACGTTCTTTTTTTCGGATGAGTGCCACAACTCTTGACTACTCATTATACTACTCAGTAGGTCCGTCATCGGTTCCGTTCCCTCAATTGGACTGGCGATAGCTTTGAGAACGGCACGACGTCTGATAGACGGTATGACCGAACGTCGTTGTCGTACATTTATCATTGGACCGTTTCCAATAGCATCCTCATCCTCTGTTGTGGATCTAAACGAACAAAATGCATTTCTCACTGTAATCTCTATATTAAAAACAATATTCTTTTCAAGTCTTTCCAAAATAGTTTAGAATTATATTTTGGAGTACAAAAAATTACAAACATTACAACACAACACGAATAATTATGTCATCGATAATTTCTTCCAACAAATGTATAAGGAATTATTTTAAAGATAACGCACATATAGAGAATTACTTGCTTACCCGGATGGACTATAATCTAATCCCAGTTCACCGCCGAAGATACTGACTTGAGGTATACCGGCGTTGTATCTGGAGTTTCTCAAAGTTTGTCTCTCAGAAACAGAGCTGTTGTTACTTCTCACAGGCATAGTAGGCTTATCCAAGCCTATTACAGAAGCTAATCTTGATTTTACTGATCGTATTCTAGTCAGCAAGGATGCTTTGCCACGTGCACCTCGTTTTCTCCTCTAGAGAAATAGTATATTTATTATATGCTTTCTCTCTCTCTTAGCAACACCTTATATATAACTTACGGTACAATATGTGTGTTATTCAAACCATATACAGGCAATAAAGGATTGTGACAGCAACGTGAAGAAAAGATGTTAGTTCTAATATTCAAGTTTGATATTTTATAAATAAAACTTAAGTTATTGAAAGTTAATATAATAAAATAAGCAAGTAATAGATTATAAAGAATACAAGTTTTCGTATATAAGTTACTTATATTTTGGAATAAAGGTAAAAGTTCATTATTGATTTGCAAGTCCATTGTTCTTCAAGATTTGGCTGATTTACGATCTGAATAATTGCATTTCTTTGTGAAATACTTCTTGTGCATACTTTAGAGTATATAATATTTGAAAATGTTGTAATAATATATTTCCATTTTATTTTATAATATAATCTTTGTTTTCCAAACCAGAATTATAGCACATCAAAATGTCATCAATAGAAGTAGAACTCAGTTATGAAATTCACGTTATTAGAAAAATAACTGATTATGTGATATTACGTGACCAGTCGATGAATGATTTATTGATAAATTAATTTTGATCTACTGAATTATTTAGTAATTTTGAGTCAATTACAGAAACTAATTTTGATTTCAACTGTAGTCTAACTATATAGCTATTGATCATAATATTGATAATACTATAGAGTATCTACGATTTATATATATGATGTAAGATGAAGTTATTTAAGCAAAATTAAGAAAAACCCAAGTGCATCTAGTGAAAAAATTGTTTTATTCGTACAAATCAAGAACAATGATACAATTGAAAAGTCTAATTTATTTGGATCGTGTTACGAAAGTGGCATAAATGTAGGGCAGTAATACAGCAGTAATCGGAAGTCCAGTATGATAAACGCTTAAGGATGAGACATGATGGTTTTGCCAGATCATACATTAAACGATTATATATATGTATAATAATTATTTTCGTAATTATTATAAAAGAATATCAATGAAACTTTAATACATAATTTTAGACATTTGTCTTGTCTGTCAATAAAAAGATATATTCAGACTTTAAATACGTATCTGGCAATTCCCACGACGAGCATGAATTATGTGTTAAGATATAATATCTGAGAAGAAATTAGCGATATACCTTGCGCGTTCTCTTTCTTTTCTTACACTTCCTCCTCGATGTGGACGACACAACTTTGACATAAGCCACCGTCTCTTCCTCTTCGCCGTTATCGTTGAGTTCTCTGATTCGAACTTCGCGAAGAACACTTTCGGGACATCTTTCGGAACTTTTCTTTGTTAACTTCTTCTTTTTTTTCTTTGTCGCTTTAGTTTTGGATTGTCGTTTGGTTTTTCTTTTCGAGCGCGTGGATGAGGTATTACCTTCCGAACTTGGCTCCAGAGAGCGACTCCGACTATTCTCACCATTCCCATCGGGGCCAGACGAGGTAGACGGCAAATTCGGATCGATAGACTGCACGGGAATGTTCGATCGAGCGCGAGCGCGATTGCGGTTTAACGTTGAACGTATGACATATGGATACATGCTGAATATGCTTGTTCCAAATTGAAGAACACGATTTTCAGTAGAACGTCGACTTCGTATGCTTCCTCCAGATATAAACTGCGTTACAAACTGGAAATATAAAAAAAGAGAAATAACATATCTTCGTTATTTTTTTTATAGTTTGTAAAGACGCAAACACATTCTAGCACACATATATTACAGATTATTTTATGCATAAGAATTTGGCTATATATGAAAGCTTTACATTTCATGAGCTAGAATTTACTACTAGGAATACATTTTCCAAATAATCTGTAAAAACATTTTTGTCTCTACATTTATTATAATTTTGTTCTTTTTATTATGTTTTGTTTATTAAAAAATGTAAGTGTATATTTTGTATAAAGAATTCACGAGCTAAATATTAGCATGAGTTCTCACCCTTCTTCCATATGATGTGCATTCTGGGCAATACCACTCTTCTATAGGAACTTCAGTCAGCGGTGGTGTTAAACATTCCATATGGTAACCACGATCGCAATAGTCACACAATAACATTCGATCTTCCCTATTACTTTCACTGCATATTTCGCAAAATGTTAAGTCATCTTGATACTCGACTCGCGGCACAACATTTACTGGTATCTGTCTTTTGATCTAAATAAAAAAAAAATAAGAACGATATGCACAAATTCACTTGAAACTCAGCACTCTTTATTCACATTTATATTTCAAGATGAATATGCAATGCTAGAAAATAAATTGTTAGAAGCAAAACAACATTAGTTAAAAACAAAACAACATAGTGTAAATGATGCGAGAGCAATTACCTTGCCTTTAATATGGTTTTTAACCTGGATCAATGTAAAAGGTTGACGATCCACGGGACAAGTATTAATATTTTTACTCCATTCTAATAAACATTCTAAACAGAAGCTATGTTCACAACTGGATGGAGTACCAACTTCTTGTTTTTTAAATGGCAGTAAACATATGGGACATTTTTCTGACTGTTCATCACTATCGGAATTACTATTGATACTGGCTGGTAAAGAAGGACCTGGCTTGTCGAGCTCCTTTGTTTCAGGTTTATTGTAGTTGTTATCACTCAGTTCATTAGAACTCCAATCACTTTGCCATTCAGATGAGGTGCTGCTGTCTGTAACATGACATTAAATACTATATAGTACGATGGGAATAAGCAATGTGTGTATAATATTTGAATAATTTTTTCAAATATATTAAATCACATAATTTTTCAAAGTTTAGCAACATAATATATATGTATATACTAACTAATCTGGAGTGATTCTGAATGTGTGCTCTCCTCTGATGAACTAATATCATAATTAGATGATTCATCCTCACTAATAACTCTCTGTAATTTAATATTAGTAAAGATATATTAGTTATTAATAAACTTGGACATTTCTGTAAAGCTACAGACTTCCAATAATTACTCACATAGTTTCTTCGTCTATTCACAGGATTAGGTATGTCACTCTCATCACTGCTGCTTTCTTCTTCACTGACAATTCTCTAAAATAACAAAGCATTTTATATACTGTTATGTGTTACACAACTAAATTTACTTATATATTTAAAAGCTTTGATTACATATAATACATATTAACATATATTTGTTGTCACTATTTTACATAAATTTTTCAATTATTGTGTGTACATTTGTCTGTGTGTAAATAAAAATATAGTTGATATTTCCATCAAATAAAAAGATTTAACTTTATTGACAAGTTTTAAAACATATAAATGTATTTTGACTTAACAATTGTATCATATACATACATATATCTTTCTCTTTCTTTGAGAATTTTTTTGCAGAACAACAGATTCATTACTACTCTCAGTATCACTTTTGATGATTTTCTTGCGTTTATGAGTATGATGACGTATAGAATAATTGCAATCACTATCACTTGACATCTTAACTTATGTTACAATTCATATCTACTGCACTTGTCCTAGAAACCTACAAACAGAAATTTAGAAAATGTTTCACAATCCACACAGCTTTCCTTTAATATTTGCGTTGTAAAGACAAAATGCACCTAACCAAAACTACTTAATCATTTAGATGGTGTGCATATCATTAATTAATAATTATCAAACATATCATGACATGGCAGTTATCACCACACCATTACAATCTACATAGAAAGTCAAACATATTTCAAAACGTTTCAAAACATTTATACAAGTTTATGTAAATTTCTACAGTTTTTCACAAATCTTGAGTAAAAATTGAGGTACGAAACACATGTTAACGATTATAAAGAAAATAATTACGAAGACATCGCCACGAGCGGATATCACACAACGAAGCGTATTGTCGACAACGCATTAAGCACTCGATCACATCAGATTTTTTCACAAAATCTGTTCTGTTTGCATTAAAGCACAACTCGCGCCTTCACGATCTTACAAGATATACTTCGAAACAATACATTCTGCTTGCTGCAGTCACGTTCGTGACTATTTGCTTATCCAGCAATAGCCGTGAGATCTCCTCTACGAGGAGAAGGGAAGACGGTTAACGCGCGTTCCTCGTAATAATAAAAAAAAAAAAAAAAAAACTGCGGTACGGCGTCGTCATTTCGCCATCGAGGTTCAGGTGAACAACCCGTTCGACGGCGAAAACACTCAGCCCCTTTGCGGAATACCGCGCGGTTCTCACGATTCATTTACAAGGATAATGACGTGATTCACGGCGCGAATCCGACGCGCGGCGATGCGATCCAGAACGAAGCAAGGTGTCTCACCCGCAAAGATTGCTTATGTTTCGCGTCACGTTCAACAGCCTAGCAAACATTAACGATCATACGGGAGTACGGAGCGCCAGAGTTGACGCTCGTTCACCCCGCTCCCTCTCTTTCTCTGTTTCCTTTTCTCTCTCGACACCGCTCGCGACGAGGATCGTCGCGCACTCGCGTCGCACACTCCGCTTCGGATACGTGCGCGCGATAACGATCTCACGACTCCACGAGGAAGCGTTTCGGCTGCGAATCGTCCGCGCGAAGAGTTGCCCCGCAGATCTCTCTTCCGCAAAAAGGTACGCGTTCTATCGTGAGACCGCGGACATCTTGGATCTTGCGGACGCTGCTGTGCTCTGTGTGCCGTGAGCGACGACGCGCGTCACTTCCTGTTACGCGGCTAACCGATCGCCGATGACGGTCGCAACTCGACAAAAGCACTCGTTTAAAAGACCGATTTTTCAATTCGACAGAGATTCGCGAGGTTACTTGTCAACGTGCTTGATGACAGACACAACAGACCGACACGGTTCCGAAAATGTATCACGTAGTAAGATCGAGAGGAAGTGACATTACCGTCGGGAGATTTAAACACAGAGAGGCAAATTTGAATTTTGCGAATCTTTTTGTATTTACAACTGTCTATATAATTTCCGATTAAACTAAACTATGCACATAAAAAACAACGCACCGCTACAAATATCATATGCATATTTTGTATTTTTAACTGTAAATTATTCTGCTAAATTAAATGGAATGGTTATATGCATAGAGAGTACTGTGGTGATTTTACATCACATTTCTAAAACAGGATCACTCAATGCATTGCCACAAAAATCACAGATATATAGTGACATTCACTCTTGTCTATAGATACTGATCTATTTGCCGGTATTTGTAATCCAATCTTATATTTAAAATTGTCTTAACCCAAACAATACATGTTTCTAAAAGACAACTTAAAAACGCCTCGTTTTATCTTTAAAATTATTTTTTAAAAGTTTATCTCAAAATGAACTCAAAACAATCTTAGTTTGATTAACCAATCGTAATAAAATTCACTAAACTTGATATTAGTTTTCTTTGTTTTGATTGGTGAAATTAAATTCGAATCCAATCTTCATTCCAATTCGTAGTGTGATACGGGCTTTAATGTGTCTTTGACTAAAATCTGCTTGGCGCATGTTGGCGGTGATGTATGTGTGTGCGTGTGTGAGTGTAAGACATGTGTTCATAAATTGTATTAATTATTGTTGAAATTTTATTTATGGTTTTTACATTTTAAATCCGTGTACTCTGCAGAAACGCATTGAATTAATATATTGTTATCGAACTCTATATAGTGAAATTACGCCGTGTAACCGAATTAAATACTATTTCTACATCAAAAATTTTAATAGAAGCTGGTTAAATAACCAATAAAAATGTTTATACACATATAAATCTTATATATACATATATTTTATCTGTACAATGGCCTCGTTACACACAATCAGCACAGTTGGTGATACTACAGACCAGTTTTCTTCAATAATTGAAAGATTGCTATCACTAACTAGTACAAAGTTTAATGATAAAAAACAAATTAATGCATCTCTAAAAGATCTTAATAAATTAGATTACAGATACCTCAATATTGTAAATAATGATGTAAGTAAAAAAAAAGAGCAATATTTATATATTTAATGATTAAGACTCCATATATAACTAAAATTAAATTTGTAGGCGGTGTTATTGTTAGTAAATCAACTTTGTGGAATTGTCTCACCTACAGAAACATCTTTAGTTCAAAATACTTGTCAATTCCTACGTTGTCTAACTCAAAATAACATTCAGCTCCATGGTCGGACACTGGCAACTTGTAAACGATGGATTTTAGAAGCATTAGAGTTTTCTGAACCAGCAGCACAAGATGATGTGTTAATTGCCATAAAAAGTTTCTTACATTTTGTACAATTTGATGACATTAACCAGGTTAATATACTGTTTACTTATTAGTTGCATATATAATCATCTAATAAATTATTAAACTAATTTGTTTTATTATATATATATACATATTCATATGAGAAAACATTGCTTTCTGTTTCAGTATGTACGTCTATTACTCAAAGATAAGGGTATATTAATGAAACATTTAGATCCACTATGTAACCCATGGTCTGGAATCAATTTTCACGCACTAGAATGTTTAGAAGAATTTGTAACAAACAAAAGTATTGAGAATTATCTATCATGTGAATCTTTACATTTAATAAAGGATATAATTTTCAAGATTGCATCACAATTGTCATATCAGGATGATAATAAGCTTTATTACAGTAAGGTATGTAATTTAATTTATATTCTGTATAATACACACACAATTTTGTATTGTATTATTGAGTTATGTAATTTATAGGTCATATATCTGTGCTTGCACATTTTGCATTGTATAATGTTGAAAAAAACAATTTCCACTTCTTCTGATTTTATCGGAGAAATATTAGGAGTAGTACAGGTGTTTTTATTTCATGGTATTAAAGGTTATTTAGCTGTGAAGCCGCAAGTACTACTTCCAGCTGCAATGAATCTTCCAGAACGCACTTATACAGTTCCAAAATGCAAAAATCTTAAAAATCACAAAGCAAAACCAAAGAAAACATCTAACAGAAAGGCTGGATCTGATGTAGGAAGCAATGTTCTTTCAGAATCAGACTGGATTACTGGGATTCCCAAATATTCCAGTGATTCAGATACATCGGACACAGAAATTACTAATTCTGTTCATATGGATTCCAAAGTAAGATTGGGAGCTATACGTTTATTACAAACTCTCGTAGAAATTACTCAAAGCAGAGACATTTTTGGATATTGGCCACAAATTGTAGCTACTGGTTCACGAAATGATGCACGAGTATTAGCAAGAAGCATATTGGTGGAATCTGTGTCTAAAGTCAGACAAAATGTTCTGAGCACATTAACTGATTTGCTAACAGGCGCCAGACCATTTCTAATACATGCAGAAGAAACCAATCAAACTTCTTTTATCACATTTTTTGGCACAGTGTGTTTAATGATCAAGGAATTGCATTTTGCATTATCGTTGATTCTGCTTTCTGAGAAAAATGTAGCTGTGTTAACACATGCTTTGAAATGTATGGCAGCTCTTGTACAAGGTACACCATACGATCGACTGAAGCCAGGTTTGGCCACCAAGATAGTTAGGAATTGTAGATTACACATATTTCACAAAGGCATGTATCGTACTTTAGTTCTGGTAAAAAAAAAAGTTCTTTAATATTGAAAACAATGAACTTTCTTATAGCCATTACAGCTAAATTTTTTTTACAGATCCAGCCATAAGAGTTGCTGCATTGTCTATTTTCGAAGCACTTGCTTCCGGCGATCCTTTAACTCAAGAGATATCAAAAATTTTAGCGAAATCAATAGATACTATCGAATCAGAGAAATTACAATCTGATACCGGTTCCGTTAGCAATGTCGAGACAGAGGAAGAAGAAGTAGATATCGAAGATATCAATCATTCAGTAGAGAGTTCTAATACGATTGATGAGAAAGTTTCAAAAGATGAAAATTTTTGTTTTCTGGTTCGCGTTTGCTTAGAAAATATATCTAGCAAGGTATGTTAAGTGACTTGTATATAAAATTGAAAAACCACTTACTAAGCAGAGAAACAAACAGTTAATGTTTGTGATTTTTTCAGATTATTAGTACACCTGTGCGACTTCAGTCCTTAAAACTCTTGGGACGACTGGCATTTAACACAAGAAGTCTCGTATTTCCTCATTTGGAAAAAGTGACTACAACATTAATCTCGGTTCTGGAGGAAATGGAAGAACAAGTAGTATTACATACATGTCGAGTTTTAGAAATTATATCCGGTATTTGTCTTGAAAATACCGATACTTATCACAGCGAGGGCACATTGTTTTGGAATATCATACTTGAACCTATGATATTGCTCGCACAAGTATCGCAAACTATATTGCGCGAAGCTGCTTGCGATTGTCTAGGTAGCATAAGTGGAAATGTATTCTCACAATTATCGGTAAGAAAAATCAAAGAGTACATGTAATTTATTCAAATCTTTTTTTCATTTACAAAATAAAATAGTTCTGACATATTTATTATAAAATTAACAGTATACGAAATGTTTATTTACTTTTAACAGAGACAAAAAACTATATTAATAATTACAATACTATTTGGAGCGGTTCGGGACGAAGAAAGTGCCGTGAGAGCGGCTGGCTTACGTGCGTTAGGAATGCTAGTAACTTTACCAGCGTTAGAAGACGATACCGGCTTTCTCATGGATCTAGCTGATATAGTTTGCGTAGCTTTTGATGACAAAAATCTTGGCGTTCGTGTGAAAAGCGCTTGGGCATTGGCAAATTTATGCGATTGTCTTTCTAGACACAAGTCCGTTGCTCATACTTGTTTTTTGTTCATTAATAATAAATCTTCGTTATCTTGTTTTTCAATTGTATATGTATACAATTTTTTTCAGACAGCATGAAGAGATAGAGCCACTATCTTTAGACGTATTATTACCCAAGTTATATTATGTAAGTGTCAAGGCTGCGAAAGATAATGATAAAGTAAAGTGCAATGCCGTTAGAGCAATTGGTGGCATTTTATATTTATGTCCATCGAAACATGTATTGCCTGATACGACTTCAGGATTAGATGCGCTTATTAAATGCGCTGTTTTAGGAAATGATATGAAAGTAAGTTTATCTAATAATCTTTAATACACTGGTCACGTGTATCCGCACATGTTTTAATTAAAGTATTTATTAATTAAAGTTTTAGTAGAATTTATTCTAATAATATAAACATAAGTTGATGTTGCTTTGATATAAATAATTTTTAAATTAATGTTAGGTACGGTGGAATGCTTGCCGAGCTTTAGGATTGGTTTTGAGTCACAATCCGGATGCAATATTGCCTCCTTCCTGGAAAGTATGTACATGAAACCACAGTAATCAATGAGTTTATGTTGTAAAAATGTAAAATTGCATACAATCTTGTTTATAGGATCAAGTATTTCCAGTGCTTTCCACTTTGATATGTGATAGTCCTAATTTTAAAGTGCGTACCAACGCAGCATGGGCATTGTATTCGTGCAATTGCTACGGCAAGTATACTGTAATGTTGTGGAAGAGTATTGTCTTAGCTTTCGAAAATGCTCAACATGTTCCAAGCTATGTCGAATATCCGCATCGAGACGCACTGGTTCAACAAGTAAGTCTCCTCATAACAAATGTCTTATTATATTTTTGTATTTTATTACTCATATGCCTCGATATATTTTTCTTTGTTTTAGTTGTGCCTTACTCTTAGTCGCATTGCTGCTCTTACAAAAAAATCTGAACTACAGAGTCTTTGGATTGAAATTGGTGATCATATAGAAGAACTCTCAATTTTCATGAAACAATTTCAGGTATAGTTACATCATACAGTTCCATATGTGTACAAATATAAATACAATACGTTCTTATGCATTTAATATATGCCATTATAGGAAACTGTATTGCCAGAGAAATTAGGAGATTTAATCAAAGCAAAAACTCAATTGGACCAATATGTAAAAAATGCACAATGTGCCAATGAACAACACATCGCTCAATCTTTAGCAAATATATTTGAGAAAACTAATCGCTATGATAATTTAGATAATGTTCTTACACCTACAAAGAAATAAAATTATATGTATAAAAACTGACTTAATGAAAAATTAAATTGTTTTCTGTATGTACATTGTGCAACTTTTTATTTAAATAAACATTGTGAAATAAAATAATATACAAGTCAGATGTGTTTTGTGTATTATAACCGTGATTTCAATATTTTATTTTTATTGTTTAGATAGTATCAAGTTTTATTGTTTTACTCAAGTTTTTTAATTTTTGTTTTATTAACAAAGGGATTATCTTGATAACATTCCTAGATGTTACCTAATGTATAACATTTGGATTGACTATTACATATGTAAAATATACACATTATATATATAAAATATTACAATAATATATGAAATAAGTAATAAATTATGTAATGTAATGAAATTGTAATTCTTAAATTATGAATAACTTGATTATATACATACATACAAATTTAACAAATTACAATATTTGCATATTGTTATGTGTCATTTTCACACTTATTATCTTTATTTAATATCTCATCTTTTGTTGTATTTTCTTGAGTTTCCTCTGATGCCAATTCTTTTTCCACTTCAGTCTTCGTTTTACTTATAGACATATTTTTTGAATTATCTTGAGTATCTTCATTATTTTCTTTATTTATTTTACTATCTTCATCAATATTAGTTTCTTCATTCTCATCTGAACTGTCTTCTTCACTATAGTTTTCTTCCATCTTAATACTATTTTCTTTGGTAGTTTTTATACGTTTCTTATTTTTACGCACCTGCTTCTTTTTCAGTCTCTTAGCACGTTTTTTTGCAGTTATTTCTTCTGCCAATCTTCTATTTTCTTCTAACTTTTGATGATACTCATCATCCAAAAGCTCCTATGATTTATATTAAACAATCAAGAAAGAAAGTTGTAAATACAGGAAAAATCTAATAATTATGCAATATAGATGTATCACATGATTTTTACATATAATAAGTTACCTTGCGTGCTTTTTCTTGAATAAATTTTTGCCGTGCATATTCCTTTCTGCGTAAATGTCTATACACATGAAACTCTCCGCTACCTGCTCCGGCACTACTACCCATAACATTGCGAACAAATTCTGGTACAGAAGGTGTATTCTTGGCCTTCGGACGTTCTGGTAAAATAATTGGTTTGTCCTATACAAATAAATTACAGAATTAGAGTTTGATTTCATCAACAAAAAACGAAATCTGTCAACGTTAACTTAAAGACAGAAAAAGTACAGATAACCTACTACATTCTTCATTAATTTCATAAGTTTCAATCTCTGCAGATCTACAGCTGTTTTCGCCACCACAGGTTTCTCTTCATCTTTTTCTTTATTGTCTGACATTTTTTTCTCCACTTGATATAAAAAATTAATAACTTATTAATAATTTTGTACTCAAGCAGTAATGTGTGCAACTTTCGATGTTTTTTTGCGTAGATTTATTAGGTTAGTTGTTTTCAGGGCCGAGTCTAAATACGACTAGAAGCTTCTCAAGTCTCAGGAAGAAAGTCGCAAAAAAGCTGCCCACTCATAACGTCAGTGGGCAGCTTTTTTCCAATCAGAAGTGAGTGTCTCCCTGAGAAACTCTACAGTTCAATGGACAACTTTTTCCTCCGTCCAATCAGAAGCGACTGTGACATCACGAGTTTACGAGTCTCTCCCTGGGGTACGTTCCAAAATCTTACCTCGGTAACCGAAAACTATAGTACACGTGACGCAAAATATAGCGTTTTAGTAACCAAGGTAGGATTTTGGAACGTATCCCTGAAAGGCTCTCTAGGGCCATGTTCAGAAACACAATTCGTGTACATACCACACGAGCATCATTTTCTACCTTTGTCTTATATCTAATAAGCAATAGAATTAAAATATATCATCAAAGTTTCGCTACAAATGTGTGGACATGCGCTAGCTTACGGGACGGAAAAGCGATCGTAAAAACTCTCATGGAACTGGCCGCTCTCATTCTTCTCTCTGCTCTCGGCTACTGCTCTCAGCGCCACAACAGTGGATATAGAAACTACGGAGCGACATCTTCACAAATATAAACGTACAAATGTAACTCAGTTTTAAATTCGTACACCAATTCTACATCGCGCGAGTTCAATAGTTCAACAGTTTTCTCTAATTATAGTTTTAGATTGAATCTTTAACATTATTTTTTATACATCATTTAATCATCAAAATGATCGCCGTTCAAGAACAAGTTGAACCGTTGAATCAAGATATTCGATTGCTTACGGCAGGCTTTAATAAGGTACCCGTTTCTTAATTGTTTCAGGATGAAAATCGCACAAGGTAAGATGACACATAAAGTTTCTTTGTTTTATTTTGGCTCGATCGGTGTAAATAAGCGCACGAGGACAAGATTTTCTCCATAGAGTATATTACAATACATAATATATAAAAGAGAGATATAACATATATATAAATAAAACATAAACTTCTCGGTAAATTTCACAATCGTGATATTAGTGCAAAAGCCATTCGGTGCAGTGTAATGTTGACATCGTTTGATGTGAATTTAAAAGTACATGTATGATTTAACCAAGGTGTTTAACACAACTGGATTAATCACAGCTAGTCTTTGTTTTTGTTTTTTTTTCTTTTCTCGCGATACACTATCGAATGCACTAAAGCAAATAACAAGTGTAAAATGCTCATCTCTCACGATGAGACATAGCAAGCTTTGTTTTTTTTTATCGAAGGGCGGGATGAAGATTTCATCTTAAATATAACGTCAGCTCGAGAAAACAATATAATTACAGAGGTATTACGATAAATAAACAGAGATATATAATATCTATATATATAGAATACAAAGCGTATAATAGATCGTTAATAAAAAAAAAAAAAAAAAAAAAAAAAAAAAAAAAAAA